TGTGGGTGCTGGGATTCAAACCCAGGTCTTCTGCAAGAACAGTCAGTGTTCTTAACCGCTGAGCCATCTCTCCAGCCCCCAAAATAAACAAATCTTAAAAAAAATTCTGTTGATTTGTACTTGTCTTACTTCAAGTGCTCATTGGCTCTATGGGGCCAGTGATTACTGTATTGTACAGTGTGTATATAGGACATTCCCATCACCACAGAAGGTTGTGTTGGGCAGTGCTGTTGGTCTCTACTGCACTCTCTCAGTGGTAATTGGGCAGACCCGTGAGGACCTCTGGGAAGGCTGAGGTACAAACTGTGCCCCTGTGACAAATAAACTTTTATGCCTTAAAGATAGTAGAATTAGCTGGGCATGGTGGCACATGCATATAATGTTAATACTTGGGAGACTAGCCTAGACCACATAGTGAGTTCTAGGTCAGTTTGGGCTGTAGTATGATACCTGGTCTCAAAAAACTCAAAAACAGGGGCTGGGGAGACAGTTTAGCAGTTAAGAGTACTGGCTGCTCTTGCAGAGGATGCGGGTTTGGTTCCCAGCACCCATGTGGTGGCTAACAACCACCTCTAACTCCAGTTCCAGGGTGATCCAACACCCTCTTCTGACCTCCGTGGGCATTGTACGATACAGGTGCATTTACATACATGTAGGCACTACACTCATACACATTAAAAAAGCCAAAAACAAGACAAAACAGCCAATCAAACGAAAGCAAACCAAAACAAACAAGAACCAAAAAAATTCAACAACGAAAGGTAATAGAAGTTTCTCATTTTTCCCCTTTCTTTTCTTCCTTTTCTCCATCTCTCCTTCCCTCTTTCCCTTCTTCCTTCCCTCCTCTCTCTCATTCTTTAGACAGAGTCTTACTCTGTAGTCTGGCTGGCCTAGAACTCACCGTATAGCATTCAACTCTTGGCAAGCTTCCTGCCTCCACCTCCTGAGTGCTAGGATTACAGGTGTGAACCATCACTCTTCTCTTTCTTCCTCTCCCTCCTCTTTCCTCCCTATCTGTTCCTTTCCATTTCTTCTTCTCCCTCTCCATCCTTCTCTTCCTCCATTCTTTCTTTGTGGTATTGAGGATTGAACTCAGGGATTTGTACATTGAAGGCAAGTGTTCTACCATTGGAGCTACACTCCACCTCAGTATATTTTCTCTCCCTCTCTCCTTTCCTCCTTTCTTCCTCCTTTCTTCATTCCTACATTCTTCCCTCTCTTCCATCCCCTCTCTCTCCCCCTTTTTTTTGAGGTGCTAGGGATGGAACCCAGTACCTGTGCATGCTAGGCAAGAGCTATATTCTTTTCCTGACTTTTTGTTTGTTTTTAGAATCAAAGTCTCATGTTGCTGAGACTGGTTTCAAACTCCTTATTCTCCTGCCTCCACCTTTCAAATACTTGGATTACAGGCATGTACCACCACATCTAACTTATTTTATTTTCTTAATTTGAGGCAGGGACTGGCTAAATTGCCCAGTCTGACCTCAAATTTATGATCCTTCTGCCTCAACCTCCTGCATAGCTAGGATTTTAGGTACGTATCACCATACCTGAAAATGTTTTTCCTTTCTTTGTTATATTTTTTTGAGACAGGATCTCCCTGTAGCCCCAGCTGGCCTGGAACTCGCTATGTAAACCAGGCTGGCTTTGAACTCACAGAAATTTGCCTGCGTCTCCCTCCTGAGTGCTGGGACTAAAGGCATGCACCACCATGCCCGGCTGGATTTATTTTTTTATTCTATGTATATGAGTGTTTGCTTGTATGGATGTAAGTGTATTATGTATGTACAATGCCCACGGAGGCCAGAAGAGGGCGACGGATCCCCTGGAGTTAGAGATAATTGTTAGCCACCATGTGGGTAGAACTGAATCAGGATCTCCTGAGCCATCTCTTCAGCCCCCCCCCTTTTTTTTATTAACATTTTAAATATTTATTTGTTTTTAATTCTGTGTATATGTGTGTGAGGGCACATGCTGTGCTTGCTGACACACATTTTGCTTTCTTAGGTATAGGTTGGTTCCAAGTCTGACATTAGCAACTCTGGGATGACTGCATTTGCTTGTCTGTTTTGGATTGGACTGGACTATCACTATTTTGATTGGCCTTCTTTAGAGTATGGCTCGTGTCCTCATGTTGACAATGGTACTCTGTACCAGTCTGGCTTCCAGGCAGTGAAAGGGGAACAGAGGAACAGAGGAAAGGATACACACAGAGTTTAGCTTCTGTGTCCATCCCTCTTCTCTCCTATTAGTGGCCAGAATTAGTAACATGGGTACTTGTGGCTGCAAGAGGCCCTTAGAGATGGAGTCTTAGCTAAGAGGCTGTTAATGTACTAGAGGACAATAAACACTTAAAAATTTTTTTTGATTGACTTTTGCTTTATGTGTATGAGCATATTGCCTGCATGTATGAAGAGGTGTCGGATCCCCTGGAACTGTGCTCCATGGAGATTGTTTCACAGTGGTAACAAGTGACTTCTCTCTTGACCAGTTAAGTACATGAAGGAGGTTTCACCATATTTCAAGAATTCTGCTGGTGGGACCTCAGTCAGCTGGGACTCACCTCCTTCCTCACCTCTTCAGCCGCAGCCTTCTTCCCCTGGTCCCCAACCCAGGAACCTCGGTGAGGCTAAACACATATCCTTGAAGATGGCATACGTTTCAAAGAGGTGCACTCCCACTGACCTGGAGCCCAGGTGAGGCTGGGATGGGGGATGGGGTCATTTGGATAATCAGATGCCCTGGTGTTATGTGGTAGGACCAAAAGAAAGATACTTCTGTGTTGCGTATAAGTGACAAGTACAATGACAGCATGTAGGAAGTCTTAAGAACTCAGTTAAGTGGATGTATGAGTGAACTTCTGGGGTAAGAGTGTGCTTTGATTCTTTCTTCTTCCTCTTGGAAGTTAACAACTGAGGAAGAACTTGGTCTGGGGAGGAGCCTTGGGTTCCAATCCTGATTCTTCTTGATTTTTTTTTAAAAATTATTTTGCAGGGTGTGGTGGCGCACACCTTTAATTTCAGCACTCGGGAGGCAGAGACAGGCAGATCTCTATGAGTTCAAGGCCAGCCTGGTCCCCATAGTGAATCCAGGACAGCTGGGGCTGCAGGGAGACCCTGTCTCAAAAAGACCAAAAAGTTTTATTTTATTTCTTATTTCTTCTATTTTATGGGTATGAGTCTTATACCTGCAGGTAGGTAAGTGCAGCTGTGTTGTACAATGCCCGAGGAGGACAGAAGAGGCTGTTGGATCCCCTGGGACTAGAGTTATGGACAGCTGTTAGCTGCCATGTGGGTGCTGGCATTCAAACCCAGGTCCTCTGCAAGAAAAACCAGTGTTCTTAACCACCGAGCCATCTCTCCAGCCCCTCTTCTTGATTTTTTTTTTTTTTGAGACATATCTCAATTAGGCCAAGCTAGTCTTGAACTTGCTATGTAAACTAGGATGACCTTGAGCTTCTGTTCCTCCTGCTTGATCACTTCCACTTGACAAGTGATATGATTACAGGCATGGGCCACTTTATCTGGTATTTTGAATTTCATCTTTTTTGCTAGGAGAAGTAGACTAGGTGACTAGGGAGAGGTAGATTTGGAGGAGCCTGTCTTTGGGGATTCTCCTCTAGGAAAGGTCTACTTTTCATTTGAGAAGGGTCACCCTTCCCAGAGATTTCTGTTTGTCTCATTGGTCAGAACTGGGCTGCATGGGCAGGCATAGCTGCAAGGGGAGCTATGAATTTAAATATTTCCTTTCTAATTCTATAATGGAGAGGTATAGGGGCATGGGAGGGGTGTTGGGAGCCATCTTCTAGTTTCTGCCCCATTCCATTTAGAACAGAAATGCAAAGAGGAGTGGCCCTTCAGTGTTCTACAAAATGTTCTGGAAACCCTTTCTAGCACTGCTGTTGCTGTGTCCCTGGAACTCTTCCTCCACACTTGTTTTCAAGGCTTTAAAAAATGTATGTGTATGTGAATACATGTGCACACGTGTGTTCAGGTGCCCTCACTGAGGCCAGAAGATGGTGTTAGAGACCCTAGAGCTAGAGGTACAGGTTGTTGTGAGCTGCCCTAGGTGGGTGCTGGAAACTGAACTCAGGTCCTGTGCAAGAGCAGTAAGTGCTCTTAACCATTAGCCATCTCTCTAGCCTGTACATGCCTTTTTGTCTCCTTTTTATTTATCAATTACTTTTTCTCTTTTTCCAGCCTTTGTTGTTTTTGAGACAGGCCCCATATAGTCTGGGTAGCCCAGTCTGGTACTGAACTCACTATGTAGCTGATGATAATCTTTAAAATGATTCTTTTTGGTATTAAAATTTATTTATTTTGTGTATGTGAGTGCAGGCACATTCCACAGTGCACATGTAGAGGTCAAAGTACAATTCTCAGGAGTTGGTTCTTTCCTTCTACCATATGGGTCTCAGGGATCAAATGCAGGGCATCAGGCTTAGAAATAAGTACCTTTGTCCACTAAGCCATCTTGCTTTCCTTAATGATAATCTCTCTCTCTCTCTTTCTCTCTCTTTCTCTCTCTCTCTCTCATATTTTGAGACAGGGTCTCCCTCTAGCCCCAGTTGGCCTGGAACTTGCTATGTAGAGTAGGCTGACTTTGATCTCACAGAGATCTACCTGCCTCTGCCTGTGCTGGGATTAAAAGTATGCACCACCATGCCTGGCATCCTAATGTTAATCTTGAATTCCTGATCTTCCTGCCTCAGCCTCACTAATGCTTGGATTACAGGTGTGTACCACCACACTTGGCCCCAGCTCTTTATTATGAAGAGCAACTTGGTATCTTATATTTTCAGTATTTTGGTTCTGGGCAACAAGGAGAATGGGGAAGCTGGACCAGCAAGAATTTTTCTTAGAAACCAGGAGAAAAGGGCATTATGAATCCTTATCTCTTAATAATTTTGGCCCCTAGTACATGACAGCGAGAGAGAGAGAGAGAGAGAGAGAGAGAGAGAGAGAAAGTAAGGGAGCAAGTGAGCAAGAGAGTTGTAGTTTCCTATCCATAGATCCTGGGACCCCAGCAACGAGCTCAGTCCTCTTTCTTTCATGGACGACCCTGTGGCTTTTGATTTGGCAGCAGATGGGTTTCTTGGGCTAGATGCCTAAGCTGAATAGCTGCCCAGTGACCTGCCCTTTCCTTTACCCCATTGCACCTGCAGGTATCTGGAGATCTGTGCAGCAGATGGCCAGGACGCCCTCTTCTTGAGGGCCAAGGATGAGGCCAGCGCAAGGTCATGGGCAGGTGCCATCCAAGCCCAGATCAGCACTTTCATACCTTGGGTCAAGGACGAGTTGCAGGCACTTCTGGCAGCCACAGGCACAGCTGGGAGCCAGGACATCAAGCAGATTGGCTGGCTGACAGAACAGGTGCTTTCTGGGCCTGGGCCTAGCCCCTCTTTCCTAGTGAGCCTCATCATCCCATGGTTTCCTGGCCCCGTGACCTCTTTCCTCTCCACCCCTTCTCACTATGTTTTTCTGCCTGCAGCTGCCCAGTGGAGGTATGGTCCCGACCCTGGCCCTGCTGACCGAGAAGGAGCTGCTCCTCTATTGCTCTCTCCCCCAGAATCGAGAAGCCCTGAGCCGGCCAGCCCGTACCGCGCCACTTATTGCCACCAGGTACCCATGAGTTGTGCCCAGGCTTGGGAGGGTCATGTTTCAGATGGACTCCAGAAACTCTAAATGCCAGCCCTGTTCTGCCTCAGGTTATTCCCCAGGAAATCTGAAGCAAGTTTCTGCTCCTAGGTCACAGTCTTTCCATTTGCAAAATCAAGGCTCAGGACAGAAACAAATGTGAAGTGCCAGCAGCCCCTCATTTATTGACACCTATACCTTGGACTGCATGGTTTAGAGGACAGAGTTGACCTGAACCATCATTGCCCTCAGAGAGAGCCCAGAGTAGGGAGGCAGACCCAGGAGCAACCATTCCATGAAAGTTTAGGACCCTTAGCTGCCTGTCCTGGTCAGGGAGGACTTCAGGAGGAGGTGACATTTGAAATGGACTTTGATGAATAAATTGGCTGTTGAAGAAAGGATGCAGAGCATTTTGAGCAGGAAAATGTCATGGTCACAGGTGCAGAAGCTTGAGGGGCTGTAGCATGTTCATGGAGCTATGAGTATGGTATAACCAGATGCAGAATTCATACAGGAAGTGGGGAGAAAAGAGGCAGCTTCTACTATTTGGTGAACGGTGTGTGTGTGTGTGTGTGTGTGTGTGTGTGTGTGTGTGTGTG